CCTTCAAAAGGAGCCCAAGCTCCTGAGAAGATGGCAGTGTAGCACTGTCAAGGGACAACTGCCTGAGGGACTTTGATGCCTTGAGCACTGGCAGCAAGAACAAGGTGTGCAGAGGTTCCCTGGGGAATCGGATCTCCAGCTGCTCCAGGCAGCATTCTAGGGAAAGAAAACCAAACAATGAAAGAGCTTGGCCTGGAGTGCCTGTCTTCAATGTAGTTAGGTCTGTATACCTGACCCAGCTATCATTTAGGTTGGTAGAAAGTGCCTCTGTGATGCGCCCTGCCCTGCAGAGCTCGATGGCAACTCAATCCTATGGTAATGTACATCACTTCAGGCTCATTTCAGGACTCCCACCATGCCACAGGGCCACCAATTTCTGTGTTCTGGCAGTAAAACTGCTTGAGAAAAGGTCACACGTCATCCACAAACCAGTCAGTGACTTCCCAGAGCACAGCTGTTCCCTGATCCCACTCCATACTCGCTCAGGCTTTCCCCATGGCTTTTCTGGTCATTCCAGGGCTAATGAGGGTGATGGGAGACCTGTCAACTGAGAATACACCTCTATAGCTCCCAGACTGGAATCCAGAGGCTTGGGCAGTTCTTTGCCATCACCTGTGGTATTGTAACAATCAAAAGATGCTTTCCCTCTGCTGAAGGGTCTGTTTAAGGCTTAGAGCCTCACAGTCAATAGGAGCAGATGCTCTCAACCAATTCACAGGTTTTGTGGGACACACTCCCCATGGCTACATGGACAGTAGGTTATGACTAGCCCCGTACAAAGCTGCTGTTGCAGCAGGTCAGCCTACAGCAACAAAACGCTTTGTCCAAGACTCGGGCTCCACAGAGCATGTCACAGACTGGAAATGACAAACTGCAACACCATCTAAATTAGCAAGGTGAGGCTGTAATTGCTTACCTACACATCACTGTAAGTGTAGAGTTCAAATCTATGTGCCAAGCCTTATGGCTCTATCCGCCTGCCACATCCTGGCCACCACTCAGAATGCTGATTCCTACCTGGAATTTCTACCTCACTGCAGGTTGGATTCCCCTCTGGCCTGTTCCCTTCCAGCTGGTTTTTGAGGTCGAAGCTGACGGAGAGCGTGTGGAGCTGGGGAGAGGCGCTCAGGATGCAGCGGACAAGCTCCATGCAAGGCATGTGGGAGAAGATGTCACTCACACGCAGCACGCGGAGGTGGCAGTCTGAGTGACAGGACAGGGCCCGGAGCGCCGAGAGGATGCAGGAGATGTTAGCACCCAGGCCTGGAACAGCATTTGGATAGAAAGGTGTTAGCTGTGCCCATGCAGGCACCAATGCACACACAGCCAGCGTTGCACCAAAGGCCAAGCAACCCAAGTGAAAGGCTAAACGCACAGACTGCTTTATACACACATTCTTAAAGCTAGACTGTGTATATGGGAGATGGAGATTTGTCTCCTCCCTTCGCCCTCTCAATGGTAAGCACAAGGCCTAGGGCTGTTCTGGGGCAGAATGGCACCATTCTCTCCCTCAAACAAGTCCTCACACTCATTAAACATTTCTACCGATGCCATTCTCAAGATCAGGTACCAATACTCCTACAATGCCAATCCAGTAAAAAAATCCAGGTAAACCCAAGCAGTACATCAGCCCATAGACCAGGGCTGGAAGGAGGCAGCCTGTTCGCACCACTAACCGTTGTAAGACAGAACCAAGGTTTTTAAAGAGACCCAGGAGCTCAGCAGGTTACTCAGAGTCCGACATGTCTCCCCAGTCAAAGGAATGGAGAACAATTCCAGCGTGGACACGCTTCGGAAGCGGTGAGCAGCTCTCAGAGAAAAGATCCCAGCAGATCCTCCTCTTTTCTTACACCCAGCACGGCCATTGCACGGGGATCCTGAGGAGGAACTAGTCCAGTTCTCAGCATTTTCTCCCTCTGTGGCACTGTTTTTGTTGAGTGACCCTGAATTATCCTCTTTAGCAACAGTGAAAACAAAATCATACAGGTCTTCTGAGTCGGCATGTGGTCCCCTGCTTCGTCTGAGGCAGCGACGTTTCTTCCCCACACCAGATTTTAGTTGTCTGCGTGTCTTTCGAAGAACACGCTGGCAGGACAGCTGGTCTGAGATGCAACAAGAAGAACCTCCCTCAATGCTGGTGGGGTCACAGGGCACCTTGCTGCTTGCCTCCTCACACGCTTGGTTATGCAGAGGAGAACTCGCTCTAGAGAGGACAGAGTTCAGATGAGCATCAGCCCCACACCCATTCACCTCCATGTCAGCCTCTTCCGGGGCGCTGGGGCATCCCTTCTGGTTCTCATCACTGCTCCGCTCCCTCTCATCATAACAGCCCCTCTCTGCTTGCTCTTGTGCCAGCTCCTGGCTTTGGGCTTTGCCCTCCTCTTGGCAAAGGCCACAAGGGCTGCTGTGATACATGAGGGCATTGCCCGAGCGCCAGAACCCAGCGCTCATGCTCAAAATGAGAACGAGAAGAACCGTGTCGGGAACAGGCCAGGAATACATGGACACTTGGCTGACAGAGCCATGGTGAATCAGCCGGTGGAGAAGTAAAACCAGCGAACGCCTGATGGACTGGTCGGAGGAGAGGAGGTGCTGGAACTTCAGGATCCGCAGGGAGCCAGCCAGGTTTTCAAGCACCTTCTGGTTGTGCTCAGCAGTGAGCTCCACCGCACCCTGCAGCATGTTGCAGAGGGTAAGCTGGGAAACGTGTGGGGAGCTGTGGAGCAGCGGGGAGAAGTGATGGTGATGGAGGCGCCAGTCAGAGGAGACATCCAAGACACCGTGAAGAACGTTTGAGAAGAACGTTTCAAGGAACTTCTTCCTCCAACAGGTTATACTCTGCAATTAAACAGGGACATGTTAACAAAGCCACTTTTTTCCTCATTCTTTTAAGTTAAATTACTGCTCTCTGCTAACATGGTAAATGTGGTGTCCAAAAAACCCTGCTGCTAGCACAGCTGGGACTACCCGTCTAGCTCTCAACATCCTTCCTAAGTGTACCTGTTGAAAGAAACAAGTTACTCCCATCGCTCTCACCTCATCCTGCTTCTGGCCTAATTCAAACACCTGGTGGTTTGAAGCTAAGCCATTGGTTTTGCTTATCAAAAACCATCATCAGGAATTTTATTCCCAACCATCAATCTATAGGCTGTGATTAAGCTGCCAGATAATGATTGTTTTGTGGTGCTGGATCAGCGGAGCTGCCTCAGTTTACCTACACAAAGCCATTCTCCCAAACTCAGTTTTCCCTAAGTATTTCTCTAGTGCTTTCTGAGACATCAGCACAATTTTTGCCAGCGTAGGTGTAAGCATGACATCAAATACTGGTTTTATCCCATATCCCTAAGAATTAGATCTCTGAAGACAGGATTTATTCTTTGGTCAAACTCGCTGTTGTGAGACGATGGGCATGGTTGCACACTACAGCCCCTTTTACGAACCCCATTTCCAAAATGATTGTACTACCAGGGTCATGCCTTGGTCCAGAGCTCTACAAACTCCCATAAACAAGCACCAGCAATGGCTTGGAGGCGCCCAGCAGCACCATCGGGCTCAGAAACAGGGCGCCTGCCTCGTTTCCTCACCTCCGAGTTGGGCGGCCTGGTTTTCATCACATCATCCCACAGCTTGCGCCAGATGGGCTGCGTCGAGAGGCCTGCGGGACAACAAGAAGTAACCAGGTGCTGTCACCCCTGTTCCGCACCCCAGTGCCCTGCCTCAGAGCCTGCAGGGCAGACCCAGACCCCTGCAGCGAAGGGATGGTGCTTTGTGGTGAGGGGATGAACACCCACCGCCTTTCATGGGATGCGAGTTAAAACCAGCAGGGTTTGTTGATCCCCAAAAGGAGCCCTTACAGCAGCACCCGCACCGCTGCATGAACCCTGCCCGGGGATGGGGCAGCGACAAGGTGTTGGACACAGCGGGTAGCCAAGCCCCGCTGGTGACGGTGCCAGGGACTGCGCTCTGCGGTGCCCCCTACCCTGCTGAGGGGCTCACCCCTCTGGCCCAGGGCTCCCATTTCCAGCCAGGAGGGCTCTGTTCCTCCACAGCAGGTCTCTCCGGTGTGGGGCTCATTCCCGCAGCCCGGGGGGACCCCTTCAGTGTGTGTATGAGGGGGATTTGTCCACCCCATCAGTATGGGGGCCCGTCCCTCGCACCCCCCAGGGGTCTGTCACCTGCTCTCTGTGCTGCGCCCTCAGCCCGCTCGAGGTGGAAGACGGTGAGAAGCGGCAGGAGCCCCCGCAGGAGATGTCCGGGCAGCGCTGTGGAGAGCCAGAGGGAGACGGCGGCAGAGTGCGCGCAAGCCCCAGGCCCAGCGCCCCTCCGCCCGGCGCCGCCCTTGCCTTACCCCAGACATCCCGCTCCAGAGCCGCCATGCTGCGGCTCACGGCCGCCGCGCTCAGAGCGAACAGGCTGCGCGGCCCCTCAGCCGCCATCGCCCCTCTCACTGCTGCCCCACCGCCGCCATCTTGGGGACGGACACGCCCTCCCTCCCACGCGTTGTCGCCGCCATCTTGGGAAGGAACGCACCTTCCGCCAGCTCCGCCATCTTGGGGGGGGAGGAAGAGGAGGGAGCGGGCGGCCATGCTGGGGAGGTCGAGTTGATCCGGAGAAGGCTCAGGGGCGAGCGTATCGCTCTCTAGAGCTAACTGAAAGGCTAGAGCCAGGAGGTAACGGCCTTAAGCTGCGCCACGGGAAGCTTAGTTTGGCTGTTAGGAACAATTTCTTCACCCAAAGGGTGGTCAGGTATTGGAACAGGCTGTGGGAAGTGGTGGAGTCACTGTTGAAGTGTTAGAAAAACATGCAGATGAGGCCCTTAGTGACACGGTTTAGTATTGGACATGGCAGTGCTGGCGTGACAGTTTGACTTGATGGTTTTAAAGGTCTTTTCCAACCTAAATGATGCTGTGATCCTAAGGAGGACAAGAGCACAGCAGACATCACAACGGCAGCCGCCATGTTCGGAAGGGACGCCCCGTCCCTGAAGCACCACCCTCTGTTGGAGCGGTCCCGGCGTGTTTCCGCTTCCAGGGCGGGCAGCGGCGGTTCCGGCGGGTGACCCTGCCGAGTCCTTCTGTGCGGCGGCAGCGGGGCCATGGGGCTGCGGGACAGCGTCGTTCACGCCGGGGAGCCCGAGGTGAGCGCGGCCGCGCCGGAGCCCCGCGGGACGCGGCCGGGAGGGCGGGCAGTCGGTAACGGCTCTGCTTTCTGTTTTCACAGGAGGAGGAGGAAGAGCTGGTGGTAAGTTGGAGTATTGTGTACGGTGCTGGTGTCCTCCGCATAAGAAGGACATGGAGCTGTTGGAGCAAGTCCAGAGGAGGGCTACGAGGATGATCAGGGGACTGGAGCACCTCCTGTATGAAGACAGGCTGAGAAAGTTGGGGCTGTTCAGGCTGGAGAAGAGAAGGCTGCGTGGAGACCTCATAGCAGCCTTCCAGTATCTGAAGGGGGCCTATAGGGATGCTGGGGAGAGACTCTTCATTAGGGACTGTAGTGGCAGGACAAGGGGTAACGGGTTAAAACTGAAACAGGGGAAGTTTAAATTGGATATAGAAAGTTTTTTATTGTAAAGGTGGTGAGGCACTGGAATGGGTTGCCCAGGGAAGCTGTGAATGCTCCATCCCTGGCAGTGTTCAAGGCCAGGTTGGGCAGAGCCTTGAGCAGCCTCATCTAGCCAAACATATCCCTGCCCATGGTAGGGGTGTTGTAACTAAATGATCTTAAGGTCCTTTCCAACCCAAACGATTTTGTGGTTGACAGATCCACAGCTTAGCATGGGGGCAGCTCAGAGTCCAACTTCCACAGGGATATATGGCTTCCTCTTAAAGCAGCGAGCCTCAGGGAAGTGTATGGAGGGAAACAGCATTTCAAGGCGTTCTTGCCCTCACGGCAGTCCTGTGCCTGCAGGATCCTTTAACCACGGTGCGGGAGCAGTGTGAGCAGACGGAAAAATGCGTGAAGGCGCGGGAGCGGCTGGAGCAGTGTGATGCACGGGTGTCCTCCAGGTCCCATACGGAAGAGCAGTGCACAGAGGAGCTGTTTGACTTCCTGCACGCCAGGGACCACTGCGTAAGTGCAGCGCCCGCGGGTGCAGCGTCCCTGCTGGTGCTGGGGGAAGCTTTAGCCACGCTTCCAAGGGTGCAGGGGGTTCAGGTGTGAGACGTGGTCAGAAGAACTGTGAACCTCGATGCTTTCTCATGTTAAATGTTTGTTTCCTCCTTGTTACAACAGTTCCAGCTGAAATTCAGTAGGTTATTAAAAGATTAAATAAGTCAAACATGATGTTTCTGCCCCACAGATAGCGCTCTGCTGTTTCAGTGTCGTATTTGCCATTTGAAGTTGAACCTTTTTAACCTGAGCTGTGAGAGATCTCAGCTTGTTTGTTCTCTTCAATGAGCTGTTGCAAAGCAACAGCTGTGGGGCTCAGAAAGCCAAGATGCATGTGATAACACCCTGCTGCCTTTCAGCCCTAAAGTACAAGTTACTGAGGGCTTTGCCTCTTCTTTTCAGGTTGCTCACAAACTCTTTAAGAACCTGAAGTGAAGGCAGGCGCCATTGTCCATCTGCTTCGACCCATGTTGGTGGTTCCTGGATTCACAGTTCTGCTCCTGCCCGTTCCTGGCAGCAGCCAAGCATCAGCCTGTCTCTGCGTCTGTTCTTGTGGATGATGTGCAGCTATGCAAAAACCACGTTGATGTTCTGTAGTTTTCCATATTAAACATTGAGTTCCCATGGAAACAGCCTCTGTTTATTTCCTAGCCCTTAAGCTCCTCACTGGTACTGGGTTACGGTGGAATTAGCCTGTGTCAGAGCTCAGTCTGTGGGGGAAGACTTCTCCTCACCTGTGGGAGTGTGCTTTCTGTGCAGCCATGAGGTGGAGTGACTGGATCCTGATCCCGCAGGGAAGAATTTGTCTACTGGAGCCACAAAGATTTATTTCCAAGCCCCACAGACCAATATTGTTACTGCAGTAAGTTAATCACATTACATTAAACTAAAGAGAATGACCCCTTTCCGGGAGAGCAAAGTTTCATCCCCTTGGGGGGGAGAACTGTCAGCTGCCCCTCATTGTCCCCTAATGCTGCTGGAGGAGCCTCTTGGCTGTGGTTGGCTTTGCCACCTTGCCCAAAATGACTGGCCATGGCTGCAGGGGGGCATGGTGGGGGTTCCACCTGCTCAAAGGGGGGGAAATGAAGCCTCCTCTGAAGCACAAATCACCAGCCTCTTCTGCTGACATGGGACTGCCCGTTTTTCTCCACACTAGGGTGCTCAGGAGCAGGAAAACTGGGCTGCTTCACAGGGCAGCAAGAACTTCCTCAGCTACTCATCGAAGTGAGAATCAAAACACCACCTTTTAGATTGGGCTGTTCTTTATCATCGCAGCAGTCCATAATGCTTTTGCAGGTGGATTCCCGGTTTACTCCCTAGCGGACTGAAACCAGCTTTATTAGGGTAACATGTTACCTTTGCGAGGGCTGCGTGTTTCCCACCCTGTTGCCGGGTCCTTCCGGGCAGCGGATGCCCCAACCCGCCTCCTCCCGTCCCGCACCACGGGTGAGCTCCTGGGAGGCGGAGCGGGGTCGGAGCCGCTGCCGGTCCCGCCCCGGAAGGCGCCGCAGCGGAGCGGGAGTGATGGCGGCGCTGGGCGGCCGGGGGCCTGTAGCGGCAGCGCTGCTGCGGAGGGGACCGGCACCGGGGCTGCGACCGGTACCGCGCCGGTATCGGTACAAGAAGAAGTGGGTGAGTGGGGCCCCTGCGCTGCGCCTCCCCTTTTATCCCCGCTAACCCTTCTGCACCCTTCCAGTCTCTCCATTTCACCCCCTTGCACCTCTCGCTACACCTGTAGGCCCCCTCTCCCGTTACACCCCCATTACACTGCTCTGCACACAGCCGCTCCCCTCCTTGCATGCTCACTCCATCCTTCAGCCCCATTCGGTCATTCCCAGTCCTGAACCTCCCCATCAACCCATGGGTGTTTAGGACACAGTCACCCTTTGGGGCAGCAGAAAAGGCTTCAGGGACTTCTAGAAACATAGAATCACAGACTGGTTTGGGTTGGAAGGGACCTTAAAGCTCATCCAGCTCCAACCCCCTGCCATGGCCAGGGACACCTTCCACTAGAGCAGGTTTCTCCAAGCCCCATCCAACCTGGCCTTGAACACTGCCAGGGATGGGGCAGCCACAGCTTCTCTGGGCACCCTGTGCCACTGTTTTGGCAGCACAGAGCTTGGCACTGGACTGTGAAGGGAAAACATTGTGGGGAGGGGGGGATATTGAGGTATTTTGTCTATTAACATCTCTGATATTTTTCTCCCTCAAGGCTGCCACAGCTCCCCGCATCCCATGCACACGTCTGGCCCTGCACCACTTCGACGTGAACTACAGCCTGCAGCTGAAGGACCTGTGGCCCTCTGTCCGCGCCAGCCTGCTCTGTGAGCAGAAGTACGGTGCCCTCCTCAACAACTTCTGTGTTCATGATTACGTCACTCAGGAGCTGGAGCTGATGAACGCCACTGATTTTGTGTCCGAAGGCTCCAAAAAGGCACAGCGGGGTGCAGCTGCAGAAGTGAGAAGAGAGGGAAGCAGGTCCCAGGAGGGACCTGGGAACGTCGGGACAGTGATGCAGACAGAGACACAGGCAGAGACGTCACCTCCACTTTGTGCCTCCATCAGCTCCAACATCAAGTGTTACACCTACCCCAGGGGGGACATCACACGCTTCCGCCCTGCACGGTGAGACATCCCTGCTGTCCTTGCTAGCCTCATAGGCTACAAGTGTGTGAGCACCCGTTGCTTCTGCACATCCCCATCCTCACTTCCAACTGCTCTTTTCTTTCCCTCCCTCACCCCTTTGCTTTTTTTGTGCAAACTGGTGGTTTCCAGGCAAGACTCTCTGGGGCTGCTCGACTATTATCTCATGGATGCATCGTCTCTCCTGCCTGTCCTGGCGCTCAACGTGCAGCAGGGTGATTTGGTCCTTGACCTCTGTGCTGCTCCGGGTGGCAAGACTCTGGCTCTGCTGCAGACTGGGCTTTGTGGTAAGTGTTCTTTGTCCTCCATAGGTAAAACAAGGCTGGAAGAGTGTGCCGAGCCCATTCATGTCTGACCGTTAATCATTTCTGGTTATAAGAGTTGGGATTCTGATGCGGTTTTGTAAGTGACATTCCCAGTGTGCCTGTTTTGTCCTCCCAGGGCATCTGGCAGCCAACGATGTCTCCATTTCCCGGACAAAGAGGCTGTACAGCATTCTCAACAGCTACGTTCCCCAAAGCATCAAGGAAACTGTGAGTGTTACTTCCTATGACGGAAGAGACTGGGAGCAGCTGGAAGGTGGCACTTTCCATAAGGTAGGTGACTGGGAGCCAGTGAAGATAAACCGATCTATTTCACTTACCTCCTGTTCCAGAGAAAGCCAGCAGCTTATCCTACAGTATAGAATCAGAGAATAGTTAGGGTTCAAAAGACCTTAAGACCATCTAGTTCTAACCCCGTGCCACAAGGCTGTGGGGAGACCTCATAGCAACCTTCCAGTATCTAAAGGGGTCCTGCAAGGATGCTGGAGAGGGACTCTTCATCAGGGACTGTAGTGACAGGACAAGGGATAATGGGTTCAGACTGAAACAGGGGAAGTTCAGGTTAGGTGTAAGGAGGAAGCTCTTTACTGTGAGGGTGATGAGGCACTGGAATGGGTTGCCCAAGGAAGCTGGGAATGCTCCATCCCTGGCAGTGTTCAGGGCCAGGTTGGACAGAGTATTCGTGTACCGTTTTCCATAATCTTAAATGCAGAGGAAGAGAGAAGGCTAAACCACATAAGGAATAGTATTGCCTTCCTGTAGGATCTGGAGTGTATGGGTATCGGTAGTTGTGCCTTTATTTACCTGTGTAATATCTCTTAAAAGTCCTGTTCTAATCAATCACCTTCAAGGGGTTAAATGTGAAGATTAGATAATTATTGTTTCTCAGCCTGTCGGGGATGGAGTGACATGCTGCACTTGTAAGAGAGAAGTAGCAATAAGTTTATTGAGACAAAAGAGTGATTTAACCAAACTGTTAGTAAATGTGACAGTGGTTTAACAAGGTTCAGTGTTGATGTACACTGGGTTATTTACCGTATAGAGCACAAGGTCAGACAGAACTGCCAGGGAGACTTTCCTGATGAGTTGAGAGGTTCAGAAAGGACTCCCTTGCTTTCTAAGCTCCTTCTCAGAGGGGAGTGTGGAGCCGGATCCAGACTTAGTCCCAGACTTGGTCAGTGATTTATGTCTAAAAGATTGTACGTGCACAACTTGTCCTTCATATCACTTAGCTAAGATTGCAAATTTAGCATGCTGTTAATAATCACCTACCGAGAATCTGTTATGGCAAGGATCCCCTCAACCTCAAGGTGTAACCTTGAGGGGCATCCTCATTCAAGGGGAGATCCTGGTGTGCAGCCTGCTGCCATGCAGGAGAGCTCAAGAGGCCCTGTTTATGGACTAAGATGATTGACTTAGGTCACATTTACACACCAGCTGTATTTCCATCTGTTGAGAAGATTTATGTCCCTTAGCTACTGCATTATCTGTCTTCCCAAAGTACAGCTTAAGCCAGATGGAGCTGTTATGACCACTCCTGGTAGCTATTGCTTAAGCAGGAGAAAGGGTGTGTTGGGGAGCATGCTGCCAGATAGTCACATCCAGCCTTAGGAGCTGGGTTTGTTTCTCCAGGAGATGTCACTGCAGGAGCTCTGGCTGTGTGTTGTCGCAACCATAGGTACTGAAGTAATGCCTACCAGAAAGATGCATAGATGTTAAATGAAGATACGTGTGAGAGCATGATGTTATCCCAACATAAAAAAGACAGGGGATTGTTGGAGCAAGTCCAGGGGAGGGCTACGAGGATGATCATATCTGTGTCTGCATGTTCCTGAGATGCAGAACCAGCCAGATGAATTGCAGTTCAGTGTGGATGCACAGCCATGTTTGGGCAGTATCAGCCAGGCAGGGTACCAAGAGCTGCTTGGAGTATGGCAAGGATGGAAGAGTCAGGCAAGGGACAGGTTGCAGTGGGAGGCTTACTGAGCTGGACCTTACCTAAGGGCTGATGCAGAACCTCTGCTGCTGCAGGTCCTGGTGGATGTGCCCTGCACGACAGACAGACACTCTGTCATTGAGGAGGAGAACAACATCTTCCACAGGAGACGAACCAAGGAGCGCCAGATGGTGCCCATGCTGCAGCTGCAGCTGCTGATGTGAGCGAGTTTGGTGCTGTGTCTTGGGGCTGTTTGTGTTACGGTAGCAGCATGGCCAGCACTGAAACCTCTTCTTTCTTTATGTGTCCCAGACTGGGAAATGTGGAAACCATGTGTAGTTTTCTGGAATGGCAATAGCTGAGCACATCAAATTGTAGTATGTGTAAGAAGGGACAAATGTTCTTGATCAGAGGGTGGCCACAGGAGGTAGGGAGAAGGGTCCAAGGAGCAGGATGGGTGTAGTGTTGTCCTTTTGTGTGAGATGATCTCCTGGGTCCTGGCAGTCAGCCTTGGAGGTTTCCTGAGTGTCCACATCTCCCAGCACATGGGAGGACATGGGGGCACTTTGTCACCCCATTCACCTAGGAAGACTGAATGGGCTGACTGTGAGCTAGGGCAATAAGGAAACAGATTAGAGCCCCACGGCAGCACTTGAACTGCAAGAGCCTCTTCCCTGCATGTTCTCTTACCCCTTCTCTTGCAGGTGAGTGCAGGATTACTCCTTCTATCTGCTCTCCTGTGTTAAGTACTTCATCAGTCTTACAAATCTATTTAATTCATATTGCCCTGGTCTAAAACAGTCCTCAAGCTGCAGTGAGAGTGCTGAGCCTATGGGGTCTGAGGTTTGTCTCTGCCCTCCTATGAGTTACATGCTGTCTTCCCAGTATCAGTGGGTAGGAATGCTGGTGTCCCACACAACCCTTTTCTCCTGACAGTGTGTGTGTTCATCTTGCTTGCAGGGCTGGGATCCTCGCCACCAAGCCCGGAGGAAGGGTGGTGTATTCGACGTGCTCCCTCTCCTCGCTGCAGAACGAGTGTGTGATCGAGAGAGCAGTGGACATTGCAGAAACACAGTTTAACATCAGTGTCCATGTTGAGGACTTGAGCCACTTCCGGACGCTCTTCCAGGACACGTTTTCCTTCTTCTCGGATTGCCGGCTGGGGGAGCTCGTTCTGCCTCACCTCACGGCCAACTTTGGACCTATGTATTTCTGCAGACTGCGCCGGGTGTAGAAGGGGTGACAGGCTGTGCTGCTACCAGGAAATGCCCCGGATTCCCAGGGAAAGCAGAACTGCTTTCTATTTATTTGTTCTTTTTGGAATGTCCCACAGGAAGTCTGCTTTTTTACTGCAGACATAGAGAATAAATGACAAAGACCTGCTGTGGAGCCTGCTGAATATTTATCTGTTTGAGACTGAGGTGTTTAATCTAGGAAGGAGACAGGGGTCTTATCAAGGGGAGTGATCTATCCATCCTTCTCAGGATGGGGTAAATGGCCCTCTGTGGATGCTGTGCTCTCGCTCCTGTCTGACTGCTTTGATCATACAGGCGCAGGTTTGGGTTAACAGACACCATCTGGGGATCTGAGTCTCTCTGTCCCAGATCTCACTATCTGCATAGTTGAGTTGCATCTGTCTCTGCTTATCTCCTACCTTCAGAAAGAGCAGCCTGAGGTTCCTAAGAATGCACCTGCTGTGAGGTTGGAAATGTGCTTGGGATGCTCGAGATCTGGTGGTGGAAGGAGCATGGCCAGTGACTGTTGCCAACCCTCATCCTTGTGATTGAAATGGAAGGTGGGATGCTATTTAATGGCCAGTGGGAAGGTGTTTGTATGATTTTCAGTAATAACTGTGCATTCATATAATCACAGCCATCAGTGAACAATTACTGGAGTTTATTAATAAGAGTTGCTTAATAGCTACATCTTTATTTTTGTGTGCAAAATACAGTGATGGGGAGGGTACACATGGTTGTGTTCCTTACGAGGCAGCCATAGTTATAGCCATAGGAAGTCACTCCAGTGTCAACAAGACTATACTGTTCAGCTTTTGTAATCCTTTGCTCTCAGCATCACCCTGCTTCTGCAAGGGGCAGCATAGGTGAAAATGAGGGTGAACCCCCATCCATGTCCATCCTTCCAGGAAGGTGTGGTTCATAGATGTATCATCATTTGAACCCAGCTTAAACCAGTCCCACCCTCTGCATGGTATCTTGGTTCCTTACAGGATCCGTGGTTATTGGCAAGGAGGGGGGGGCAGGAAATGGCTTTTCCTTCCTCCTTCCCTCCTCACTGCTGATTGCAAGAGAAGTGGTGCAGCGCTGTTACCTCCTCTTGCCCCTGAGCAGGGGGATCGTGGAGGCTACACCGCTCTCTTCTCATGGCTGAGGGTCTCCACCTCCTTCATGAACCGCAGGCACAGCTCCTCCTGCCATGGCAAGGCCACGCACTGCACGGCCACGGGCAGCCCCACGGCTCCGGACACAGCCTGCAGAGAGGGCACAAGCGGTGGGGGGGGCACCAGGGGGTTCAGATATCCAACAGCTCTTGTAAACTTGGTTTAGGAGCGTGGCTCCCTTATCCTGCTGTTCAAGCAGCGTTAGTGTGCTGGGGCAGAGGGGAGGTTCTTGCTGTTCTCGTTACAGAAATGGTTGCTAAAGCTTGGGCAGTGTGTTTAAGTCATCCCACCATACACAGCCCCAATCCACGCCGCTTTGAGCTGTCTTGCAGCCAGATCCCTCTTTCTTCAGCATTTTTACTCCTGGTCCATGTGCTGACAGCATGGGCCTGGTGAAGGCATCATGGAGCAGGAGGAAAGTGCATTGCAGTGCTGTGGTTCCGGCTGTCACAGGGATCTACTCAAAGAAGCCTTGCTACATGGCTCCTTTCTGGTTTCAACCTATAATCTGCTCCCCCGTCTCCCCAAAGCTTAGTGATTTATGTAGTGAAGGTTTGGGAGAAAAGGGATTTTCAAGTCGTATATAAAGGTGATTTACTTTTTGCACCATGCCCATGGTGATGAACACATTCAGCAGCCCCTGATTTCAGTGAAACTATTGAACACCCACCAGCAGTCTCTGTTCCACCACTTCCCATGCTGCATACCTGTTTCAGCATCTGGTCCCAGGGGTCATTGCTGTATCCTTGGTAAAGCTTTAGCTCTTCCTCATCAGCTTCTGTCACCGTGCTGACGGGTACGACCCCAGCAGGGAAGTTCAAGACATTGTACAGCATTGTGGAGGAGATGGCAGCTGAGAGAAGCAAAGAGACAAATGCAGGTAGTCACAGCCTCCTGCCCTCCTTTAAACTTACACATTGCACATTCACATGTGCCGTGGCCTGAAATCCCAGTGTTTCTGATTAGAAACTGCAAAGAGATTGCACAAGGCTGGTTGTCTATAGGTCCGAGTTCTACTGCAAGAAACAACCACCATCAGATGACTTCACCCACATCTGTCTCCATGTGCTTAGATAGGTTTATGGTAGTTATTCTTCCTTCTTAATGCCCATAAAATGCTTAGGTAGGGGGTGAAGCTCCTGGTCTCTGTCCAGTCTGAACCGCCGTGGTGCTCTGCCCTCCCAGGAAGGTCCCAGGCTCACTTACTGAGGAGTTTCCCAGGGTATCCCGTGGTGAAGGCAGGCCCCAGGACAGGGCACAGCACAACATCCAGCCCCAGTTCCCTCCACCGTGCGATGAACTCAGTGCGGTACACCTTGGGGAGGAGAGGGGAGATGACATGGAGGCCGTGTCCATGCCTGGAGCATCTTAACTTCACCGGGGTATGCATCAAGCTCTGCATGGCCAAGGAGGCAGCAGCAGGCAGCTGTGCTCGAGTCAAGAGCATGTGTTTGCCTCTACAGCACATGGCCAGACAGCAGCCAGGAATTGGAAAGGACAGCCTTTGTTGGGACCACCAAGTGTGGGCATTGGGGCATAAGTACCCTGAACAACTGATAAAGTCCTGGCTGGGTTGACCCAAAAGCCCATTTACCCCATTCTTACCTCTCCTTTTGTGCCCTCTGTCCCGCCTCCTCCCCAGCACCCTGCTGCACAACCACTTTCCTAACTGATGACTCTCTGACCTGGCACTTGTCATAAAGCCTCAACTTGTAGCATGGTGCCAGAAAGAAAATGCCTTAAAACATACCTCTATTTGATGTTGATGATGCCACGTCTCCTTCAGCGAGCTGCAAGTGGGAATGGTAGCAACATTTTTAAGCTTTAAGAGGAGGAATTGCTTAAGTAATCCCCCGGGTTGATAAGCACCAGGGATTTTATCAATTACTTAATACATCTTTCACAACTTGTCTAAAGTTTCCTACAGCATTTGGCCAAGCAATTACACAACAAATGTCTGGAAGTGGTAGCCTGGACTTAGTACTCCTCTCCATCACAGCCTTCCCGAATGAGTGTATCCATCCAACTCCAGCAATCCTTTCAGGATAACACTAGTGCAGCACGGGGGAGATGTGTTCCTAAAGGCTGAAGTAGACAATGGAGGGACAGCCCCTGCAGAGAGCAGGCCAGAGCCTGTAATGAACCCAGCCCCACACCACTATGGACACTTAAGAGGAGAAGGTGCCACTCATTTCCATGGACATCCCGGGGGATGATGCCATCTCACCTCATTCCACTCAAGGCACTCAGATAGTCAGCCAGGCGGGGGAACTGGAAAGGAAACAGGTTCCTGTTAGGGATATGACATGGGGGTGCAATAACTTCTGACATCCTGGGAAATTCCTTTCCATCCCTGGGGATGCTACACTGAGGGTGAATGGTGATTGAAAATGCTCCTCATGGTTCTGAATTTACTTTGCTTCCAGCTTCTGGTTGTTGTTTCCCAACGTGTTTCTTCCAGCCCGGTATTTCCTGCTCGCAGAGGAATGAACTGACTTGAACCAAGTCACCTTTCATTAGTTTTGATAAATCAAACATCTTTTAGCTCAGTATCTCACAGGAACAAGACCTCCACAAGCACTTTGGCTGCTTCACACTCGCTGCTACCTTTCTGATCCTCTCAACTGAGAACCACAAAACTGGACAGAGAGGGAGAGAGAATGGAGAGGAGCCCTACAAAAGGATGCTCTGCTGGTGAAAGGACTACAGTAAGGGCCATCTCTTATTAACCACCAGAAGTCTCCATGAAGCTGTGTTATTTGGGAGGCCTCCAACACAGGGATAGACCTTCAACCGTGAGTCCCTCTGCTGCAGTAATCCCAATGCATGACCCTAGAAAACTGGGCACTGCAAGGTCTAGCAATTGGAGAACCACTTGCTATAGACTTTGCATCAGTCTTACAGCCCTTGGCTGGTCCTTCTTTCATTTCCCTTTGCATTAGATAAATCCCATCAGGGGTCTAGGAAAGACCTTCCACAGTGACAGCACGTGCCTTGGCCTGAAACCCCAGTGCTTCTAGTTAGAGGTGGCTCTCAGTTCCACCATGCTTTCAAGCATCTCAAGGCGTTGCTGACACCGTTCTCCTCTGATCCTGAAGCCAGGGACTCACCAGAGGTTTAAGAATCAGAGCCAGCAGCTTCTTCCCCAGCCTTGGGATCCTGCAGCAATTCACCTGGGGTTTCAAGCTTGGATCTATGGTATCTCCTGTGCTGAGAAGACAAGAGGAGCGGATCATGCCAGGGAAGCTGTTTGCCCTTTCTCAGGAAGCTGAGCATCTCCTGTTTGGGGTGGGAGAGCTGGGCTTGTTTTGCCTGTGCGTTGTGCTCATGGGCACGGGGATGGAGGTGTCTTACAGCACTGCTGCCCCAGGGCTCCTACTTACAACAAGTCCAACCAAGCACGGCCTCCATCGGCAAAAAAGGTCTTCAGAAAGAGTTCATTCATGACATAGTGGATCCGAGGTGGAGAAAAGGGCACCAGCTGCACCAGAACACAAGATTATGCGGCAGCCTGGGAACATGATAACTTCCAAAGCCTTACTGTGGATATGGTTCAAAGGCAGAGCAGCACCTCCCCAGGCTCCACATGTCAACAGAGCCCTGGTTCAACCCTTTACTAGCCTCGACATTTCCCAATGGGATTATTCCTCCCTGACAGCGATTTGGCTCCGCTCTCTCCAGAGCCATTTCCTCCTCCATCAAGTTCCAGGCAGTCCCTGAGCCAGAAGTTACACCAGATTCCCACCTCTCCCAGCACTATCAACATCTCAGACCTGGAGTCACTTTGTTATGAAGAGCTCCACTGTCATGTTTCTGCAGGTAGGTCTAGATGGAACAAAAGATATTTCTCATCCTATGCCCCATGGCCCTTTTCCTTCAGTGATCCAGGATGGTCAGAGGTCCCCATGGGCATTGGGGAGGAAGGATAAAAAACACCTCTCAGAGCCCTGCTTGGAAGAACAGTCCTAGATAGCTCCAAGGCAACCTGCCCAGGTAGAACACAGCACTTTGTGGATGCTGCTGACTATTGTGGACCACAGCCACCAGGAAAGCAGAGATAGAATCATAGAATCATAGAATAGTTAGGGTTGGAAAGGACCTTAAGATCATCCAGTTCCAACCCCCCTGCCATGGGCAGGGACACCTCGCTCTAAACCATGTTAGCCAAGGCCTCGTCCAACCTTGCCTTGAACACTGCCAGGGATGGAGCATTCACAGCCTCCCTGGGCAACCTATGGGTTTTTTGCACCCCTTGCAGGTACAAGTTCTCCAATTGCCAGTGCTGTTTCCCCATGAGATGCACTGCTACCCCATGTGGGACCATGCCTGTGCTGTATTACATGGCTGGTAACGTGGCTGTACCCACCTGGTGCCCAGCTGCCTGCAGAGCCCTCCTGGTGTCCTGCACTGCACGCCGCATGCAAGGGGGCAGCGGGAAGTAGCCGTCTGTGTCGTAGTACCCGACCCGCAGAGGAGCGCAGCTGGAGTACACCTGGAGCACAGAGACACCAGGGAAGCATCTCCAACCCTGCTGAGGGTAGGACTGCCCCGTGCTGAGGCTCACTGCAGAGGGGACAGTAGCTCCAGCTGGAGAGGAGCCTTTCACAAGGGTGTGTGGTCATGGGACAAGGGGGAATGGCTTTAACCTGACAAAGGGGAGATTGAGATGAGCTCTTAGGCAGATGTTCTTCCCTAAGGGGGTGCTGAGGCGCTGGCACAGGGTGCCCAGAGAAGCTGTGGCTGCCCCATCCCTGGCAGTGTTCAAGGCCAGGTTGGACACAGGGGCTTGGAGCAACCTGCTCTAGTGGAAGGTGTCCCTGCCCATGCAGGGGGTTGGAACTGGGTGAGCTTTAAGATCCCTTCCAACCCATATCATTCTATGACTCTGTGTTAGGGAGTAACTAATTTCCTGGTTGCTTCCTACAGTTTTCATAGGTTACCCTTTCCAAATGCCCACCCTTGCCTTTTTCTCCAGCCTCCCCTTCATCCCTCCCTTCGTATAAAGTGCAGCCACTCAAGACCAGTAATTCAACCAGTGTTCTGAAGACAGAGGTGGAAAAACCTCCTGGAGTTCATCTGCTGCAGAGGGGAAGGAAATGTCCTCAGCCAAAAGATTTCCTGATCCCATCTCATCTTCCCCTAAAACTTTACAGCTTTTTGCTCCTGGTATTGCCTTCCTTTCCATTCTTTTCTGGGGTTGTCAGTCTGACAAACTACATGCCAACTGAGTAGAGAGAAAGGATAACTATTTATAACCTATTTCTTGTAGTAATTATTAATTGTGCCTTCCAAGAGAGCTAACAAGTTACAGGAAACCAGTACTATAAAGATAACTGGGCTCTTAAAGAATGATGCTTTGAGTGTGTAGCACCCTCAAAAGAGCCTTGCTGACTTAAGGACTCACATCCTCATTGAAGGGGATGGGGGGCACGGTGGGGTCCAGCCGGAACATCTCCTCACAGAGCAGTGCCTTCATGCAGAGGGCCAGGCTGTCCACATCCCTTGCCATCGGCCCCAGAGCACAAGGAACTGGATTGGGAAGAGGGCAAACATCCCCGTTAAGCAAACGGGTGCATCAGACACTGGTCCACCCCTCTGCATGGCCACGTTGGCTGCAAGAGATGATCAGTCAATGAGGTGGGATGTTTCAGATGGACTTCAGACAGATCTTGATTGTCTCAGGCTTCCCCTAGGCCTAGAGGAGGACACAGGGCTCTTCACAGCATGTAGAGAAAAGCAATTAAACATAATTCATGTACCTGCCAGGATCCCACTGAATGCGCCACTCACTCCAGACAGGCTGTGGGAAAAGAGAAAGGAATGTATTCTATTTTCAGTAATGGTGAGAGATGCCAAATATGTTTGAATAGCAGAGCAGGGTCTGCAGTTCAGGACCCGAACCAGTGGGAAGCTGTTAAATGCATTTGATTTATGTGAAACAGAAAACCCAAATCAAAACAAAACACCCTAACCCCCCATAAATCTTAGCTTCAGTTTAACAAAAACCATTTGATTTTGGCATTATTTAACTACTTCAGCCCCTACCTGAGCCTTCCAGCCGTGGGTTTGAGCCCACGCAGCCCGCAGAAGCTGGAGGGCAGGCGGATGCTGCCGCCGATGTCCGAGCCGATGCCCAGGATGGAGCCTCCCCCTGCGATCAGAGCTCCCTCCCCTCCCGAGGAGCCCCCGGGGCTCTTGTGGTGGTTGAAGGGGTTCAGGGTCTGCCCGAAGATGGGATTGCTGCAGTCATAGCTGGGGAGAAGAAAACCAGCAAGTGGGCTGCCAGGAACAGCACGATGCCTTCAGTTTGTTGGCTTTCCCTTCCAGTGGGAGTGTGGCATAGCCAAACCTCACCCTTCCATCCTGTAAATCCCTCAGGACATGGCTCATTCTCATAAGCCTCTGCTTTCCCTCCCAGGCATAAGTACACTTGGTTTCTCTTATGTTACGGAAGGCTTTTTCATCTTAATCTTATCTGAAAGCTATTTTCAGTTGAACTGAGGTTGTTGGCAGCTGACAGAAGCAGGACTCATCAAGGCAACATCTCAGGAGACAGGAAGAAACCTGTCTCAGGACCTACAGGGTGGGTTATAGCTTCAGGAGCACAACCAGAAGAAAGATTTCTAACGATGTATGTTACTTGAAGAGGGATTGTGGCACGTTGGTCACTGCAAAGGGGATGGCCCCCTGGCTCTTCAAAACCTTGACTAGGACGCTGTCCTCCTGCACCACAGTGCCCAGGCACTGCGCAAGCCCACAGGTCGACAGATGCCCCTGTAGAGAGGATAAGTGACAGTGGACATCATCAGCAAGCTGTCCTTGCTCTTTTCCATGCTATTTCTCTCCCCTGTCCCAGATGCCACTCCATAGGCACACCAGCTCAGGATCAAACCTAGTGTCCTGCTGCCCAAGCGGAGTCACCAGTGGATGTTCAGGGAGTGAATATACACCCCATGCAAACACAGTGCAGTGTTTTTTCAGTTAGCACTGGTGTTTGGGGCTTGCTTTGGGCTTAGAGCCATTTAACTGTGTTGGTAAGTCAACATGGAGGAGACTGATGAACAGATACAGCTTGGGAGTGTGTGGTCAGCCCTCATCAGGGTTTGTCTGTGACGGGGGAGCTTGGTGTCTCTCGTGCACAAGCTCTTTGCTAAGGGGCTCAGTGGTCAGGCTACTGCACAACAGGGATTTGAGGTTAACGGGTCCTGCTACCAACGACTTCAAGGCAAGGTTGGACGAGGCCTTGGGTAATATGGTTTAGAGCGAGGTGCCCCTGCCCATGGCAGGGGGGTTGGAACCTGATGATCTTAAGGTCCTTTCCAACCCTAACTAGTCTATGATTCTATGTTTTAATCCCCAAGCCTGCAAACCTCTGAGTAACAGTCTGAGCGATGGCCCAAACAACCCAGCCTGCGCCATCTCTTGTATTGGAAGTCATTTGAATCATAGAATAGCTTGGGGTTGGAAGGAGCTTTAGAGATCATCCATTCCAACCCCCCTGTTTATGGGCTGGGACACCTTCCACAGACCAGGCTGCTCAAAGCCGCATCCAACCTGGCCTTTGGTTGTATTTGTATGTGTAACTATTCACCCCTTGGGGTTTTTTTGCTAATGGGGGCTTCTAACTGCCAGGGTTGCAGCTGCAATGGCACGTAGAGCTACAGCCTCAGACCCAGCCGGGCTTCCCTGGTGTAAGCTCAGGCCCATTCCCCATTCTCTGTGTCCCACCACTTCACCACCCAGCCCAGCTCATGATGGGACACTTCAGGGGCACAAAGGGAAGCACCTTGTGGCCGATGTGGTCCTTGATGCTGACGGGGATGCCATAGAGCAGCCCTTTCTCCCTCTGCTGTTGTATTTCCTGGAGCTGCTCCTCACACTCTGGGATGAAATATTGCAAGCAGTTTGTCTGCTGGGTCACCTCCAGGGCCTTTGCAAGACACATGGAGGAAGAGGTGTTAGTCAAGAATAACAATTTAACTCAGCTGCATTCAGTAGCTACCTGGATCTTCAGAGCAAGGAATAGTGGCTTGGCATGACTGGTAACCACCTTTCCCCAGATCGTCCCAGCTCAAGCCATCTCAAAGGACTGTCTAGTCATGAGTCTGACATAGGAAACAGAGAGATCCCTGCCTTTTCATATCATCCTCCTATATCTGCTATATTAAAGACTTGCCATAATCACCAGCTCCAAGTCTCAGCCACCTGCCCACACACCATGGCATGGAGAACAGAAGCGTTTTGCCCATCGCATTATGGCCGGGCACTCACCTTCTCTATGTAGGTGTAGAGGACAGTCTTGGGGGACAAAGACCCTTCCCGCAGTCTCCCAGTGAGTTCCAGCAGGGGCAGGGACAGGATGGCATCTGTTTGGACACTGGGGACCTGCAAGGGGGAGATGAAGGGGATGCAAGGACAGCAGTTCCAGTTACTCTTTGGCTCAGGGGGGACAAGTCTCTTGAGTTGTGCCAACATTATCAACAGATATTGCTGGAAAGATGGATCCTGCATGTGGGGCTTCAGACCTTTTGTTGCTGAGTGTTGCATCCTGAGTTTGGCTGCACACACAAGAGTCCAGCTGTCTCTGAAGGTGTACAAGAGCTTCATGCATCACTGCACCAGAGGACAAGGCAATGCCTCACATCAGAGACTTCGTCCTGGCACGGTAGGGCTTTACCCACTGACCAGGAGTTAACCTTAGCTGAGAAAGCACCAGCCTGGGCAGAAGGTACCAAAGTCTCAGGCCGGCACTTCACCCCTCAGAATGGGTACAGGCAGTGTGGGTCAGCCTGGTCTGAGGACAAACATCTCATAGCTCAAGCCTAGCAAAGTACAGATGAGTCAGTGGGGACTCACAGGTGGGTAAGGTCTATTCGTGTGATGAAAAATGTCAGTTCTCAATACCACCACTTTTTTAAGGTTCTATATAATATTTATAGGTATATGTATTTAAGAAAAAAGGTTGTAAAGATACGTATCACTTGTGGCAGGTACGATTTACCTCTAGGTATGTTACCTACGTAAGCATGAGCTGGTTTAAGCAGTATCCCCACTCAGAAGTGAATGGAGCAGGGAAGAAAGGTGGTTAGAAATCAGTGTTGCAGCAGGAATTCAGGGCCACATCCGTGCTGGTTGAGTGCCTGCCTCATTCATCTGTGTCATGTCCTGGTTGTTCCCAGGGGACACTGAATGCCCTGTGCTTCATTAGTGTTAAGTTGGGCCAAGCATCTTCTGGGCAGCCTGCTGGGGCAGGTCTCACTTGTTGGGAGTGCGCCATCCGGAAGCCAGGTTTTGGAGACAAGGATATAGGGATGTGGACAGATGTGTAAGCTTAGAGTTAGGAAGAGGAAAAAGTTTTCTTACTTCTATGCATAGAGGCAAGAGACATTTCTATTTCCGAATGAACTGGGTTTGCATCAGTGAATGTCTACAGTGCTTCATCATTTTGAACCAGTGTGGTTCCCTTCCTCCCAAGGCAGCCTTTCCTCTCGTTGAGGGCACATCTCCCCTGGACTCCTTGTTATAAAAGCTATGGAGGCATGAGCTGGAAGGGGGACCTGAAGAACCATCAGACCCCCCCGGAAGGATGGGTTACCTGCTCCCTGAACTGCTGGGCGGCCTTTGCCATTTTCTTCACACCCTCATCCCGGGTCCTCCGCGCCTCTTCCATTCTCTTCTGGATCTGCCTTTTGCCCAGCCATTTCCAGACCACCACGGCTGCTGCCGAGCCACAGAGCAGGGCGAAGGCAGCAGAAGGATGCACCTCCCTCTCTGGCAGGAGCTGTCTCAGATGTTGCTGGATCATAACGTGGCTTTCTCGTCTCCGGGGATGGAGTGAGAAAGAAAGGAGACCTTCCCTGCCTTCCCAGACCTGTCCCTTCTCCCAACACCACTGTCTCAGATCAGCAAACAGTTTATAAGCCTAAGGCTGACCTCTGCAAAGCTGCCTTCAGTAGAGCATGCAGTGGAGAATGATTGACTGGGAAATGGAAACGGTGAAGTTTGGCCAGTGAACCTCGGGGCACTGGGTTTATAGGGGTTTTCTGGGCTGCAGGAAGTTCTTTGCTGGGGAGGAAGGGCTGCGGGCTCAGCTGAACAAAAGCAGCAAGGAAATAGCTGGTCTTCTATTTCCTGTGTAGCTGGAGAGGACAATGGGAGAAGGAGAAAACACAGCCTGAAAACGTGAGACTTCCCTGCACAGGGATGGGGAATGGTATGATGAAAGGATGCACGGCTGTGGGGACCCATTTGCTCACCAAACCCCTTAGCCTGTGCTGCTCCCATGGTGGCCAGAGGCTGTTTCAGGCAGCCTGTGGAATAGGGCTCAGTACTGCTGTGATTTCTTCATGCAGTATAAGCAGAGGCTGTTCCAGCCCATGACACAGCACACCAGCATGGCCTTAGCAGTGGAAAATCCCACACTGTTGCAGGCCAGAAGCTATTTCCAACAGGCATTGGGACGGCTAGTGTCCGAGGTCTTCCCAGCGCACACGCCTCTCACTGCAAGCACACAAGAACCAGGCACTCAGCTCAATAACCCATCAAACATCAGCCCCAAAACAAATGCCATGGTCTGTCTGTGATCTCTGATGGTTTTGGATGATGGGTCCTCCTATGGGTCTCACCCTAGAAAAGAGTTTAGGGCAGCCAGGTTGTGCATTACAAAACTCTGACAGGTTGTACTTGATGGAAAATAGGCCTAGAACCTGGTCCTGCTCCAGCAGAGTGTAGAACTGGATGTGGAAAGGAAAGTGAAGAGTCTTCTCCCATGAGGACTGGTTTGTCCTCTAATAATCGTTTTTCACCCGTTGTCATATCCCTTCTTTGTGGTTATGAGTTCACTGTTGTTTTCTGTAACAATTCGTGTCAGCAGTACAAGTTCTTCTCTTGGGTCTTAACTGGGGAAATTTATGGACTCTGAACAGAGGATGCCAACCCCATTCTAAGAAACAATCCAGAGCTGACAGCAATTAGCTGTATGGTAACAAATGAAGCTGGCCTTTTACTGTGCTCCCTTTCAGTGGCACCCTTGCTCAGAGAAAGCCCCCTCAGCAAAGGCGTTGCTGGCTTTATGAAGGCACTGACATGGGGACATGCCTGCAGCCCATCCAGCTCCTGCTCCATCCTGCTGGCTGCAGCAGGTATCTCTGAAGGTGCATGTGGACAGGGGCAGCACACAGCAATACCCAGCACTCTTCCAGCCTCTGGGAATCTGTGCGAGATTCCCAAGTCAGAGGTGGGCTCTTTGCCTATATGACAGCGATATAACCTCCATTATAGGCTTAATATAGGTGGGAGGCTTTTTCCCTGCACTGAGGAGGGTCAGGGCATTGGCTTCCCACATCTGGCTGCACACTGGGACCTGTGCTCTGATCTTGCCCTTTAGACTCTTAGCAAATGTTTAACAGAGAAAGAGCCAGCGGTGTCCGACCCAACTTGGCGTTTCAAAGGGCAGATATCAGCAGGCACAGCTGCATTTCCAGGCAGCTGGATGCTGCTGAGGAAGCCCCTTTCCCTATCAATGTGTGGGCATCTCCAACTCCTCCATGAGCCAGAGGTAAGGCTCCTTCTGCCACTGTAAGGCCATGCACAGCACTGCCTTGGGGCAGTCACAAGGCTCCTGCCACAGCCTACAGTGCAGACACATGCGGTGGGGAGTGACTGCAGGGAGTGAAGGTTGAATCCACCTTTAGGATGGGGATGGTTTCAAGACCCACGTTTTGCACCCTCTGAGTAGATCTCTTGAGGTGCTCCAGGAGCCATATGAGATGAAAGAGTTCCTGCTGCAGAGGGGAGCAGCTACACAGAGGTGGTCGGGCTGGGTCACAAGAGGGTGGCTTTGTGTGGACCCACATCCAGGCAAAGAGGAGCAGGGGGTGCTTGGGAGAAAAGCCTGTTGAGAAAGAGACCATTTATCCCATGGGGAAACCGAGACAGGGAAGCAAAGGGATGTCCCAAGTCAAATCTCAGGTCCATATCATAGACCTCCCTGATTCACCCCTCTGCAGCACACTAGTGTGCACTGACCAACCAAGGCCAAGCACAACATTTTGGGGATGTTTGCTCACCTGAATGAATCCAGGCCCCACGTCAAACTCATCAGTGGGGTCAGGATGAAAACCAAGACCCTTTTCACAAGAGGAGTCAGCCTGTAGCAGCTCATCTGGAATTTCATTGTGGCATCCACAACGTTGGACCATCACAGAAGAGAAGCAGTCAGACCAACTCAGTCCACCCTGTCCCTAGCAAGAGCTGCACTGTCTTTGCTTGCAAAAGTAAAACTGCGCTGACTTATTGCCATCACACTGCATCCAACACCTTCAGCTCTCAAGCAGGGTGAGTTCGGACAGAAATGTCCTATAATTAAACAGTCTTCCCTCTAAATTAATGATCATTATTTTTAAGTCAGTTTTGACTGCATTCTGATTAAAGTCATGAAGAATAAATCTGGACAGTTGTACCTCATGTTCATGTGTTCGGAAGCAAACACTCTGATGCACCTTCTCCTAACAGTTTGTAAAACAGCACATGCAAATTACACGGCTCTGAAAGTACTTTAAAGGCATTCACAGAATGCTCAGATCACAGTGAAATGGGCTGGTCCCCTCTGCAAAAGTTCTTCCAGTTGACTCAGAGGGATGAATAAATGTTTTCTGGGAACTTTCCAGTTCCTGAGTCATTTCAGCCTGGAGTGGATGTTGAAAGCATGAGACTTTCCTAAATTCCAGGCCAACTCCACCAACACTCACAGGACATCAGCAGCTCTTAAGAAACCTGCCACTGCTTAACCTGCACCTTTCCAACAACCAGGAACAGTAGCTGAGAGGCGAGGGTCTATTTCTATCCACCCTTTTTTGTGTTGCTCAGCCAGGACTGTGATTGCTCTCCCTGTGTAAACTGCAAGAGAGCAGGGAGAGAAACCTCTCATACCAACCCTCTGACATCAGGGGCTGCTTTGCCTCCTGACCATCTCTACATCTTTCCTGCTTTTGTCAGTATTGCACTATTTTCCTTTGGCCTTTCCACAGCCAAGTGGGTTGTATGGATCCTACTCACAGCTTCTCCAGCAAGTCAGACACAGCATCAGTGAAGATACTGCAGAAAGCTGATAGTTCGTCACCAGATGTCCAGGAGCATTCCTGCTTCTTCTGTCATACCTGGTGTCTTGCACAGGTCTGTCCTCACCGGGGGACAGCAGAGACTTCAGTGGTGAAGGGGTGTCCCTAGCTGCTCCATAGATGGGCACAGTGCTTATCGCAGGAAGTTGGGCTTTTCACTGGTGTAACCATGGGTAAGTAGGGCAGGAAGGGAGCCAGGAAATCTGAGTGCAAAGCAGGAGAACAGCAATACAAACAAAGGAACAAAGCACCAATGGGAGAATAGAATAGAATAGAATAGAATAGAATAGAATAGAATAGAATAGAATAGAATAGGGGAAAGAGAACAAAAAGCAAAGCATATTGAGGCCATGCTTGGAGCAATGAGGATCTGTGCAGCTAACAGCTGTTCCAGAGTGAAACACATACCGACCCTAGCACTTGCATTTTTGTGTTTTAAATGTCAAGCTATTTCTAAACATTTTATTTTAGCTGCTTCAACTATCTCCTCCCTTGAAACCTGTTTAAAACCGATGTCTGGGATGCTGGGGATGTTTGTGTCTGACACTCTGCTACTTTCTGTTACACCAGAGCTCTGCTTCAGATCTGCAAGAGGCCAACTTATGATCTGCTCTTATCAGTTCCTCTAGAGGGTTCTATTTGCTCCTAATGATGTGGCTATACAAAGTCTAACCTGCAAACTAAAGAAAACCCCTGCAGGATAAAGTAAAACCAAATAATAAAGCTGGAGATGTTTGGTAACAAGCGGTTGTCTGATGACTCAGTCTCTCAGCCTTGCTCAGTTACCTATCTACACGAAGTGTATCTTGAGGAGAACAGGTTTAACTTCTTATTAAAATCAGGAGGAAACATTATCAAAGCAAAGACCACAGCCAGGATATTGAACTGGAGATAAGAGAAACTAATAGAAAGCAAGCCCTTTTGGCCCAAGCAGTGTTTCTATCTAGTAAGACAGACAAAACCTGGACTTTGGTTGGTGTCAGGCAGCTGGACAAGCACTCTGCAAACAGTGCAGGTTTGCAAGGGCTCCACAGCCTGAGCCAGTAGCTTATGGTGAAGGAGCCACAGAAGGGTTTGAAACACAGCAGCACTGTGCTGATGGGACGGAGCTGATGTCTTTTCTCCAGCCCTACTGAAGGCCTTTCCCTGCTTGATTTTCAGTGCCTGCTCTCACCAGACAGCTCAGCATCACCCTCACTGCTTTCCCCTCCACACCCGACATCATGGACTACTTGTCCTGAGAAGGGCAGAAAAGTGCTTTGCTCTCTGCAAAGCTGAGGCACTTACCTGCTCTTTAAAGCCCTGAACAGATCCTTACATCTGGTCCAAACCTGTGTCTTGTTTCCCCCACACAGCATCCTTCTGGACATGTCTCCATCTCATCCTCATCACTGAAGTGAGTGCCAAGAGAACGTTGCCTGAGCTGCACACCAGGGCTGAGATCACCCATGAACTCTGTGTCAGCATCTGCTGGATCACAGTGAGAACTTCCCTTTGGGAGCTAACGCTGCAGGATCCTTAGATCTAATGTTTGCCTGGAGACAGGCAAGGGGAGAGTGGGAGAAACAATAAATCCATTCCAGAGCCACCCACAAAGAGCAGCTGGATTGTAGAGCGCAAGTATGCCTGGGGAAATTCCTCTCAGGAATAGGACCCTTTCCCTTCATTCAGTTTTTATATGGAGGGATACCAGAGCAAAGGACACTGTCCTTTCCTTAAAAAGCAAGGTCTCTGCATGCTCAGATGAAGCCAGGAATAACAGTTGGGCAGGTCATCTGCTTGATGATGAGCTCCCACAATGCAGGCTTGGAGAAGGCACAGATCATGGCGAATCTTGATGCCCTGCTTCAAGGTACGCTTGCTTATTAAAAGCGTTTTGGTCTCCTTCATCACTCTCACCTTCCCTTCCAGCCTTTTCCTCCATCTTGAGAGTGAAGAACGGGCCGAGAAACAGCACACAATTGCCACAGCAACACTGGAAGCACTAAATAGTGCGAATGGTCAAAACACAGCCACAAAATGCTTCAAATCAGTTTTCCCTCAAGTGTTTGTTACAGTCAATAACAATTCCCCGGCCTCCTTTTCCCATTGCTTAACTGGAGCAAACAACAAGGAACAACAGCAGTGACGACAGACCAGTAGCCATTTTTCACAGCTTATGCTTACATAAAACTAAGCTTTCCACTTTAATTTACTGTGGAATTAAACTGCAGAACCCATCACCACCGGGTGGTGCAGAGATCAAGAGGGAATGAGTTCAGCAAGGGGCCCAGCAAGCTCACGGAGCGCTTTCTTGGCAGCTAGTAAAGCTGATGGGCTGACTGCAAGCCTTTGCTGAAACATCTCTTTTTGGAAGAGATCAATGGAACAACCAGAAGGGGAATTCTGCACTTACCAGGTTATACTCTGCCATGGACATCTCCTGCCCACTGCTGAAAGTACAATACTGAGGTAAATAGCTCTTCGGTCTCTTATCATGAACTACAGTTCTGTATACTATATATACTTATATATACTATATAACATACATACTTATACATAACTGTATATAGTTATATATATATAGTATATATACTATATATACTATATATACTAGTTATATACACTATATCTAGTATCCTATATATGCTATATAGTATATATATAGTTATATACACTAGCTATAGACACTATATCTAGTATCCTATATAGCTATAATAGCATATATAGGATACTAGATATAGTGCCTATAACTAGTATATATACATTAATTATATATACACATGCTAATAGTATACATAATACGTACACTTTATGTAGTTATATATATTATAGTTATATATATTACTACATTTCTACAATATAGCTATATAATATTAATATAATGGGTTTATAATATAGTAGTTATATATACTAGTTATGTATGCAACTAGTATGTATACAAATATATACATACTATAGTATATAGTATATATGCTATGCATACTATACTATATGCACAATATATAGTATATAGCATATTATATACGATATGCTATAGTATATATGCAGTTAAATATGCTAAGTATATGTAACTACATAGATGCACACTATATATAGTTACACTCTGGTGTAATCATGTATATGGACTCCTGTGATCTGGCATTAACTCTCATTCTTTTGGTTTTTAACTAAATGTAACCCTAAGAAAGAAGAACAATTTGTACAAAGAAGAGATTTTTGCCCACTATTTTTAAACAGCATTTATTGCAGCTTATTGTAACAGTGGTTCAGAGTCTGCAGGTCTCTGTCTGCTTTGTGGTTATTGGTTCCTAGAAATTACACATTCCTCCTCATGCTGTGGGCAAGTGTCTCCACCTCCTTCATGAAGCGAAGGCACAGCTCTTCCTGCCATGGCAGAGCCACGCACTGAACAGCCACTGGCAGCCCCACAGCTCCTTCTACAGCCTGCAAAACGTAAGCATGGTGCTGAGTCAGAACACCTGGGGAAGCACAAGAAAGAATGTTGTCTTATGACATTAGAGCACCTCCCATATGAAGACAGGCTGAGAAAGCTGGGGCTGTTCAGCCTGGAGAAGAGAAGGCTGCGTGAGGACATCATAGCAGCCTTCCAGTATCTGAAGGGGGCCTATAGGGATGCTGGGGATGGACTCTTCATTAGGGACTGTAGTGGTAGGAGAAGGGGTAATGGGTTAAAACTTAAACAGGGGAAGTTTAGGTTAGATATAAGGAAGAAGTTCTTTACTGTGAGGGTGGTGAGGCACTGGAATGGGTTGCCCAAAGAAGTGAATGCTCCATCCCTGGCAGTGTTCAAGGCCATGCCTTGGGTGACATGATCTAGTGTAAGGTATCCTTGTCCATGGCAGGGGGTTGGAACTAGATGACATTAAGGTCCTTTGCAACCCAAACCATTCTGTGATTCTATGACATTATAGGAAGAGGAAACAAAGATAAACATGCACAGGGCAGCGTCAGGCCGAAGTACACCAGCCTACCTGCACTGCGTGCAAGGTAGTAACATGATGTATACAAACTGCACTACTAAGCAAGCTCCCACTGTCATCAGATGTAGACAAGCCTCAGGTCAATGCACCAGAGGTGTCACTGTGCCAGTCATGGTCTTCAGCTAACACTTAGCTCTTTCTTCACTGACCTCTTTCAGCCTTTTATCCCAAGGGTCTCCATAGTGCCCTCGGTAACACTTCAGTTCTTCTTCATCAGCTCTTGTGACTGTGCTGACCGGCACCACCCCAGCAGGGAAGTCTAAGACATTGTATACATTGGTATAGGAGGTTGCAGCTGGAAAAGATCACACAAAGAATGCAGAAAGACAAAACTGAGTGTGCTGGGCCAGCAGTGACTGTCAGATGATAATTTGGGTTGCACAAGTTGCAGACTGCAGTTGCTGGATGTGAAGACACCATGAAAACATGCTGCTTTCAAAGGGACTTTTGATGGAGAGGTTTGAACCACATGGGTGCTGAGAACAGAGAGAGACCTATCCCTTACCTATCAGTCAGCTGGAAGTTAGATATGTTCTGGGAAAGGCAGATATGGGTATTTGATCGGATTCCCAGTCTGTGTCTATGTCTCACATATCCCAGGCAAAAATCCCAGCTACTTTTTCAAGATAATCCAGATGCCCAGTTCTGTAACACTATCCTGGGGATTTAGGATCCCAAAGGGCCATTGCTAGAGGGATGGAGGACCCCAGCTGTTTGCTGGAAGCTATAAAACTATTGCCTTTTTCTGCAAGTCACAGGCAATGAGCTTTTCTGCTGCTTGCAGAGTCTCTGGTAATGCAAGATGGCCACATTCAGAAGAGCTTATCCTTCTACTAAGGTCTACCACCCCTCTGACAACTCTCCTCACAGCCGCCTTCTGCTGCAAGAATAGCTCTTGGGCTTTCTACATGCAGGGAAAACTCACCCATGAATGACTGGGACAGATGTGCCACTAACTGCTGCCCCATAATAATCCAAACACCTGATGGAGTTGGGTGCATGAGAAGACCCACTCTGGGGAGATCTTCTCCAGAGGGAAGACCAAGCACCACACATGGGGAATGTCCAAGAGACCGAAATATCTTGCTCCAGCTCTGCCCACAAACACCACCATGGATGCATCCAGAGGCACCTCAATGGAGATTACCAAACAGCTTCCCAGCATAGCCATGGTTAAAGGCTGGCCCCAGTGCTGGACAAAGAATCACATCCAGCCTCAGCTTCCTCCATTTGACAATGAACTCAGTGCGGTAAGCCTAGGAGGAAAGACAGAGATGACAAACAATATCTGTTGGACAGCAGTGCAGATCAATGTCCTATGGCACAGAACAGGGAGGACAAAAACCTTCCCAGATACAACTGAAATGTAATATAAAATCTGGAATGTGCTTTAAAAGAGCCAATGGATTTTGTTCTTCCATCCTTAGGTTTCCTGCCAGAATACCATGTGCTGCCCTGAACTAGATATTAACGCTAGGTGGGCATTTCAGAGTTGGTTTATTCAAGTATTAATCCAATCCTTCATATGAGCAGTTTTGTCTTTGAATTTCATTGAATGGAGATCAACAATAGCTTGAAGAATTATGTCTAGCTGCCTAAAAAGTCAGGTTTCCTAGAAGCTTTGTTATTTTGGTAGGAGAACCTAGAAGATGTGGATTCAAAGTATTTTCACAAAACCTTTCATGCTGCATCAGGATACAGGTAAGTAAAAGCAGCAGCAAGAGACAGCAAGGCAAGCCTAAGCTCTTCCCCCTGCAGTACAGGAAGCACAGCCTCAGACTTGGACTACAGATCTAAGAGATATCTAGCTTTGCAGCCTGGGTAACCACAGCTTTGCTGAACATCAGGCAATGAATGAATGCATCCCCAAAGAGCTGTTCCACTTTGTCTTAGTAAGTAGACACAGAAGGGCCACTGTATGGCTGCTTCTGCAGCCGTATTCTGCTTACAGGGATGTATTTGTCCTGTGGTCCAGCCCCTGTTCTGCACAACTCCACGTTTTATGCACAAGGGTCTTCCATATCTCTCAGAGAGCCCCAGCCACGAGGCTGTTTGAGTCTGACCTCAGTTTCCATCTGCAGTCTGACATCCTTCCTGCTGCCAGGGGAACAAAGGAGATAGAGAGGTTTCCAGGAAATACTCTCAATGCAGCTAACCTGATGGTTTTGTTCTGAGAGAAAAGCTGTTTTCTAGCCAAAAGTTTTGAATCAGCTCTTGGTTGCAGATGAAAAAATGTGAGTATGAGTTCACTGAAGAAAACAATTCAAAGCATCTCCGAGGCCAGCAAGCCTTTTAAAGAGTTTTCTTTTTGGTTAGATTTGGAGGGGTTTTGTTTGCTTGTTTGTTTTTTTGTGGTTGCGCTTTTTGTACGTGTGGTTTGGGTGGGGGAGAGGAATCTGTTTTCACCTAAAAAACCCCAAACCCGTTTCCTTCCAAACACTCACATCTGCACAGTGACCAGGCAGGTTTTTCCTCTGCCCTATAATGTCAGACCTGCTGCAAGTGAGCAGCATGTCCATTGAGTGGTACTGATGGAGGTTGCGTGGTGCAGGATGCGGGCACGATGCTTCTCAGGGAGGGTTGAGAGGGTGCCCCAGGGAACACAGATCCTGCCTTATGGGAGGGAACCAAAACAGCGCAGCTTTGTCAGCCTCGCAAAACACCAGCTGAAAGGGCATACAACTGCTCTCTATAAATAGATCAAGGACAAGGGAGGCAGCGGAAAATACCAGAGAGATGAAGTTCTATTTAAGAACAAGGGCAGGAATAAAACATGGATACACTGGAAGTGAATAAACAGCACAGGGAATATGAAGGCTTCCAACCATCAGAGAAGAGAGGAGCCAGACAATAAAAAATAACAAAGCAAGCACAAGCAATCAGAAAACTCAACTAGTTTTAAAGAGGAACCTGCACAGTGTGTGGGCAGCATTGGACTCAGTTGTCCAGGAGAACACTTCCTGTCCTATGTTCCTGATCCCAAATGAGATCATATGGAATCCACCTAAGTCAAAGAGTTCACAGCCACGGTTTCTGACTGCCAGGGTCTCTGCTGGATAGCTCAAGCATGGTCTTAGCTTGTGACAATAGCACCTAATGTCTGAAATGAAGGATTTGCACCAAGAGACAGAAAAAACGAAGATTCGTCTTTAGTGGCTGTACTTATGTTTTTCCTGCTTAAAAAATGCAGGGCAAGGGATGATTTTTCTTCCCCATCCTCCACTAACAGAGACCTCCACATCTATTGCCTTGAGCTCTTAGCACTTTCAAGGAGCCTAGCTGCTTTATTTCCACCTGATCCATTTCCAACCCAGGATTCATCACAGAGCGCAAAGCAATTGCTTAGGAACTTCAGGGATCCCTCACTATATTTAGTAAGGAAAAAGGAAAAAAATCCCAACTGACATCACCTCCACTGCTCCGTGCTGATCCCAGAGGTTTTTGGCAGACCTGGAAAGGCGACAGAATTAATCAGCTTTGGGACTGTGGCAACAGAACACACTTAACAACATGCAGTCAGCCCACTGTTATGGAAACTGTGTGAACCCTCTGGGAACAAGGTAAAGTGTCACCCAGATGATTCCACTGGACTCACACGTGCTTACAGATACAGCGAAAGCACTTACGTTAAATCATGCCACCATGTCTTGGGGCTTTGCACTTAGACAAAGATCATGGCAGCTCTTCCAAATTCACTTTGGAAGTGAAAAACTCCCATTTTGGTGTGTCTCTGTCTCTTTTGGAGGGGCAGGTACTTCACACCATGATGCACTTGCATGCAGAGACCTCTGTTCAACTTGGCACATGATACTCTGGGTACCAGAATCCACCTGATGAGGAAAGTAGCCTGTATTTCTCTGTGCTGATCTCCATAACCCTGCCATGATGAGGATCCTTGAGCTCTTAAAATAATCCCTGGTGGCATAAGATAACACTGTGCTAAACCCAAGTGGTGCTGAGGCAAGACACGTTCATCTGGCTCAGCCTGTGCTGCACAGCCCTGTGATGGGGCTTTGTCCACAGCCATGTACCTGCACGAACCAGTGCATGCACTGATGTGCGTCCCCTTTCTCTAGAGCTACTTCAGCATGTCTTACCTCACTCCACAGAGAGCACTGAGATCCTGAGCGATTCTTGGGTACTTTCAGAGGGAAGAGGAAAAACCTGTGATTAGTCAACAACACCACAGCTGACATAGCTGGCTACCATGGGATTGCACTTTGGGCACACTTCTTGTCGCAGCAGAAGTGGCTCTGAAGAAAAGGGATGATTTTCAGTGAAGGGGTTTTACTCCCACATTAATTTATACATTTAATCACAACAACCCACACTAAATAAGGCTCTAGGACACGCTGCTTGGAGAGCATCTTCGAGGATGCTGTTTCGATACTTGCTAGTGATACCCATTCTCTTGGAGCCCATTCTTTATGTGGCTCACGAGTTCCTGAAATGGATCATATTTTGACATCCCCAAGCAAAACTCCCACAGAAGTCTGTCAGACCGACTTGACACAGCCTGGGTCTAGGGACTAAGTGTATTTGAGTGTATTTCACTATGAAGCCCATCAGGCGCTTAACATGAAGCAGCAAAGCACTCCCAGAGGGGAGCAGTCTATCTGCCTGCGTGCAGAAAATCCCCCACCTTGCAGATTTCCTGTAGCACAGACAAGACTCCTCCACACACTTACTGTGGGTTTCAGAACAACAGCAAAGATCCTTTTCACCAGAGCAGGAAGCCTGTAAGTATTGAACTGGGATTTCAGGGTGGGATCCACAATGTCTCCTTTGCTGGAAGGGCAGAGAGTGAAGAAGTCAAGACAAGCCTTCCGTGTCAGAACTACAGCAACAACAGTGCTGTTTCCAAAACAGGGTTTGTCTTAGAGGGGAGTTGGTAGAAGACACAACCTGCCCATTTTAATCTAAAACACTGAACAAAAGATGTTGATGTAGGGTGTAGATGCCCAGGTATAAATGCTCACTGCAAAAGCTGTCAGTGCCATGAAGGCTCTGGAGAGCTTTGCAGTGATGGGACCATAAAACCTTGGGCATGTTTCACCATGAAGAGAGGAAGTAGCTGGGTGGGTATTTTGGTCCATAGCCAGTGCCAACTCACCGCACCTCCATAGGAAGTTTAATAGTGTGTGATGTTTCCCATGTCCCAGGGATTAATCACACACAAAACCAGTTGCCACAGCCCTGCTGACATGTGTTACGTTATCACCCTACCCCATTATCCGTGCGTGCCAACTGCTCTTATAATGTAGCTGCTGCTCATGCTGAATTCATCCTTTCAGATACTGCTCCCCGGCTGCTCATTACTCAGTTTTCACCCACAAGAACATAAAGCAGTGGCTATCAAGTGCCAGGTCTCCTGGCCCCACACTGAAATGGGGTTTTTACTCACAAGCAGTCCACCAGGTGAACACCACCATCCGAGAAAAGCCCTCTGGTGAACAGCTCATCTACCATGTACTCGATCTTGGGTGGTACAAAGGGAACAAGCTGCAACAAAACCATCCCCATTCAAGAAGCAACAAAGACCAATGGTTCAGGGCCCTCTGTCAGCAGCCCTGCCCCACTAGTGAGGTGAGGGGGAAGCAATGGGAAGCTTAGGCCCTCCTTGCTGCTGTATTTCAGACCCCATTTCCAAGGGGACCTGGCTTAGCAGCATCTGCCCACCGTCCTTGCCTGTTTCCAAAGCATTAACACATACTGTGACCTCTCATAGGCTCCAGTCCTCCAATCCTTAAAGAAGGATTGCTAGAGGCTTCAAAACACCAAGTACTTTTAATATGCATCACTGGAACAGCTCCCATATAGAAATCCCCACTGGTGGAACCACAGGGTAATTTAGGATAGAGGAGGTCCCTGGAGGGTCAACTGCTCCAACCTCCTTCCCGCTTACCCACCAAGACATCTGTAAACTGCATTTAATGGCTGAGGGATCATGGAAACTGCTGTGTTTGATATTTATGGGAACACTGAATATGATGAAAAAAAGCAGTGCGTTAGAAAAGGAATGACTTGGATATAGGAAGGTGATTCTCTTGTTTGCTAGGCAAGGAATATAAGCAAGGTTGCTTTGGTTTGGGAAGCAAGCTGTTGCATTTGCCTTCCCCTTCATGGTTCTTGCAGCAGAAAGGGATGGTCCCTGATTTATGGGTAGCAAAAGCAGAATTGGGAAGTGACTTGTCCTAGCTTTATGAGGAGCGGGATAACAGCTCCAGGCAACCACAGGCATGAAAACCCACCGTATGCCCTGCATCCTGGAGGAGCTTTCTTGTCTCCTGGATAGCTCGTTTCATGCTGGGTGAGGGTTGGAAGTAGCCATCTCCTTCGTAGTATCCAATCCGAAGTGGCTTTGAACTGGTGTAAACCTGTGAGAAGAAAAGCCATCGCTTGTACCCATGAGACATGCGAGATTGGACCATCCCTAAGGGTTATAGAAGCAGCAGCTGAGAGATCAGGGGCCTTTTCCTCTAGGGTAAGAGACTGGTCTGTATTGTCTGGGTGCCAGGGACAACTAAAAGGTCCTAGAATCCTGGGACCTGAGCCAGAAAGACATGATCAGATGGCAGAAGCAGAGAGCTAACGGCAAAGGTCAGTGACTTCAATCATGCTCTCTAATCAAAGGTGTGAGAGATGAATTTCTCTCATCAGTAGAAATCAGCTCCTTTAGGGACTGGTCCAGGATGGAGGCGACAAGCTTGTTTTGGACATTGCTGGGGTGGGAAGGGGTCAGTATGTGGCAGGTCTCATCACTACAAGCCAACCCTGCTATGTGGCTGTGTCCTGTGGTTGCTCATGCTGTGTGTCCTCTGCTCATAAGGACATTTACTTCCCTGGGTCCTTCACTATCTTGAAACATAAAAACAGATAGGGATCTCCCAAGATCTTACTTCTGTTGTTGGAAAATAGAGACATGGGACTGCCTGTGGGCCTTACCTCCTCATTGAAGGAAATGGGGGGCACGGTGGGGTCCAGCCGGAACATCTCCTCACAGAGCAGAGCCTTCATGCAGAGGGCCAGGTTGTCCACGTCCCTCGCCATCGGCCCCAGCGCCGATGCCACTGCAAGCAAAAAGGTCCTATCACTGCGGGAAGATGAGCTGGTGCTGCCTCACAGTTACTGGTAGGGGTCCAGCATGGAAGAGGTTAGGTCAGGCTGGGGAAGAGGAAGGGGAACCAGTGTAATGGGGAAGAGGAATGGGAACCAGTGTTATGTGCAAGACGTGACCGGCCATGAGACACATAATTGAGCAAGCACAGCTGCTGGCATTTCAGCAGTAATAGGATATGTAAAAAGCAAAGGTTTGATGGTAGTAAGATGTCATCTGCATGGACTTACCTGATTCCATTCCTACGATAGGAGAAACAACACCCAGTTTGCTAGGAACATAACGGGAGAAGCAGATTAGCTTCTTACTGTAAAGCAGGCCACCATGCTGAGGCACAGATTTCCCATTTGGGAAGTGTTGGGACATACCTGATCCTGTTGCCTGTGGGTTTGAGCCCACACAGCCCACAGAAGCTGGACGGCAGGCGGATGCTACCAGCTACATCTGACCCAATGCCCAGGATGGAGCCTCCCCCTGCAATCAGAGCTCCCTCCCCTCCTGAGGACCCCCCAGGGCTCTTCTGGTGGTTGAGAGGGTTCAGCGTCTGGCCAAAGATGAGGTTGCTGCAATCATAGCTGGGGAGAAGATGAGGAGCAGGTCAGTGAAGTAATTCTGTCTCTGCAAACCATAAATACAGGTCACAGAGCATCTGTGCAGGGATGAGTGTGGAATTAAGCCCAGCAGGTAGCACCAGCATGAAGAAAATTTGTTGGGATGGCTGAGTTTAAGAAAAAAGAGGTATCAAATGCAAGAGAAATAATTTGAGGTTGAAATGAACTCAACAGTCATGATTAGCTTGGACAAGGTTAGGTAGCAAGGGTCACGTATCATAGTGTTTTCACGAAGGCAAGCATGCAATTACTTTATCATCGTCTGTGGGACGTTGGTTCTCACGAAGGGGATTGCCCCCTGGTACTTTAGAACCTGGATGATGACGCTGTCTTCTTCCTTTACTTGGCCCAGAAACTTCACCATCCCTCCAGAGGAGATGTGGCCCTTGGGGATGGGAAGCAAAGCTCTTTAAGTATGGAAAGATGCTGTTCGGATCTGTGACAATAACAGACACAAGCCCTGATGCCTCCCATGTCAAAGTTCCCACCTAACTTTTCTCACAAGCAGAACAGCATTTGAGTAGCCCAGGGAAAACCAGATCAGAGCAAGTGAGAAATTTCTGCTTAAAACAAAGCTTCCATCAGAAGAAAGGCAGGTTTGCTGGTCCCACGATATTTGGTCCAGAATATTCTTATCTGAGGGAACTCTTAGCCAGTCCTGATGAGGATGAGACATCCTGGCCTGTTCCCACCCCTAAGCCAAGAGGCATGGGAATTAGAAATGTACCTTGCAGTCAATGTGCTCCTTGATGCTGATGGGAATGCCATAGAGCAGCCCCTTCTCCTTCTGATTCTTCAGTTTCTGGAGTTGATCTTCACAGCCATGAATGAAGTCTGTTACACAGTTCACCTCCCGAGTCACCTCCAAAGCCTCTCCAGAACAGAGAAGAGTATTGAGATGAATGGATGAAAGGAAGGAAATGGTATTTAAATTGAGTTTGCAAACTGAAAGTTCAATCTCCTCAAGCCTCCGTTGTTTAGACCTTACTTAAAAACTTTAGATAGTTCTTGCTGCAATAGTTGTCTGGATCTCAGTCATGCACATGTACCCATAAGCCACCCTTCAGACATCACATTATTGACAAATCGTAACCTTCAGCATTGCTGGTTCTCTCAGCAAATGAGCTGGGCTTTGATCTGAAAGCCCCCACTGCAGAAGAGCCCTGCAGCATCTCCCCCATGCTGGAGGTATGACTCACTTTGCCCATATAGGTGTAGAGGATGCTTTCTGGGGACAGGGAACCATCTTTCAGTTTCTCCACCAGCTCCACCATTGTCAGTGAGAGGATTTGAGCAGTCTGGGTGCCTGGGTTCTGCAAAGGGCAGGAAGTTGGGTGCAGAGGGAAGAAACCAACAGAAGAGGCTGTTGTTGAGGCTGCAAATACCCAACTCTAACATGTGCCCAGCGGTGACTTTGAATGGGAATCTAGGAGACATTTCCTGTAGAAATGCAGTGGTCACACACAGCGCTGTGTGTGCTGGGGTGGGGAATGTGCTGACGGGGAATCTGTTGAGGCTTAGCTCATAAAAACAGAACCAAAACAGGCAGAAAACTGGTGCCTGACTGGAGAGCTGCATGAACCCGTAGGAGAGGTTTGCCCTATCTGTGTTTGCTCACGGATGTGAGTGTGTGCTGAACAGCAGTTCAACCAGCCAAAGGTTTACAACATTTATCATAAACATGGGGGAAAAAAGTGGGAGGGCTGCTTGCAACCTCCCCTCCCCAAGAAATGAATGGCTGTAGGCTGCATCAAAAGGAGTGTGACCAGCAGGTCGAAGGAGGTGATCCTGCTCCTTTATTCTGCTCTCGTGAGACCTCACTTGAAGTACTGTGTGCAGTTCTGGTGTCCTCAACATAAAAAGGACATGGATCTGTTGGAACAAGTCCAGAGGAGGCCACGAGAATGATCAGGGGACTGGAGCACCTCCTGTGTGAAGATAGGCTCAGAAAGTTGGGACTGTTCAGCCTGGAGAAGGCTGCGTGGAGACCTCATAGCAGCCTTCCAGTATCTGAAGGGAGCCTATAGGGATGCTGGGGATGGACTCTTCATTAGGGACTGTAGTGGTAGGACAAGGGGTAATGGGTTAAAACTTAAACAGGGGAAGTTTAGGTTGGATATAAGGAGGAAATTCTTTCCTGTTAGGGTGGTGAGGCACTGGAATGGGTTGCCCAGGGAGGTTGTGAATGCTCCATCCCTGGCAGTGTTCAAGGGCAGGTTGGACGAGGCCTTGGGTGATATGGTTTAGAGCGAGGTGTCCCTGCCCATGGCAGGGGGGTTGGAACTTGATGATCTTAAGGTCCTTTCCAACCCTAACTATTCTATGATTCTATGATTTACTATAGGTTCAAGGCAAATCCCATGTCCAAGAACCTGACCTCCTAAAATCCAGGTACTATTTTACCCAAGCACAGGCAGGAGGAAATGGCTTTTGGTTACCCATGTGCAGATGCTGGAGAGATGTGAAGCCCACCTCTGCTTGTATTTTGAGGATCATGGGGCAGACAGGTCCCTGTGGAAGGGCAGAGGTAAGGAGATGGGAGAGGAAAGGCTTAGCAGTAGGGATGGATAAGGAGAAAAGGGCATGGGGAGGTCTGGGGTGGTGATCTGACTCAGAGGATCCCAAAGTCCCATCTTTCATCCTCAGGAGTCCCTTAACAGGCCTCTATTAAGAAATACTTCCTTTATGCTGTCTTTATAGGAGGTCTTTTTGTGACAATGGAGGGTGGTGAACTTCCAGAGAATTTGTGATGATCCAAAACGTGCACGTGCCCTATGCCACATTCAAAGAGGGATCTATCAGCACTCCATTTCTTCAGTTATCCCAAATACAATCCCTTCCTCCCACACATACTTTCCCCCAATGTACCTCTTGCTTAAACCTGCGAGCTGCCTTCTCCATTCGCTCCAGGGCCAGATCCCGTGCCCTCCTCGCCTCCATCATCTTCTGCTGGATCTGCCTACGTTCCAGCCACTTCAGCAGCACAACAGCAGCTACTGAGCTGCACAGCAGAGCAGAGAGGGTGCGAGGGTCTCCCCATGATGCATCCAGGACCTGCCACAGTTGCTCTTGGGTCATGGCTCCTCTCCCAGTCCTTCCCGTTCCAGTCCAGCTACAGACACTTGGGTCTCCTGCCTTCTCCTAAGGAGGGCTGATGAATGCAGACTGTGCAACATCAGTTCTGAAGCAGAGCTGCACTATCAAAGTCCATGTTAACAAAGTGCAGGAGTGGACTTTTTACACCACAGACTTTAAAGGGGCTGCCAGCTGGAGCAGCGCTGTGGGTCAGGCTGTAAAGCAGTGTGTTCAGCTCACACTGGGTTAGGGAGTGTTGTGGTTTAAGCCCAGATGGCAACCCAGAACCAGGCAGCCGCTTGCTCACTCCCCTCCCTTCCTCTCCCCGCTCCCAGAGGGATGGGGAGGAGAATCAAAAGAATGTAACTCCCACAGGCTGAGATAAGAACAGCCCAGTAACTAAGGTATAACACAAACCACTGCTGCTGCCACCAATAATAATGATGATAAGGGGAATAACAAGGGAAGAGAATAAAACCGCTCACCACCCGCTGACGGATACCCAGCCCGACTGAGCAGTGATCTAGCCCTTCTGGGTAACTGCCCCCAGTTTATATAGTAGACATGATGTGCTGTGGTATGGAACACCTCTTTGGCTAGTTTGGGCCAGGTGTCCTGTCTCTCCTTCCTCCCGGCTTCCCCTTTTTTCTGGCAGAGCATGAGACTCAGAAAGTCCTTGGTCAGAGTAAACATTACTGAGCAACAACTGAAAACATCGGTGTTATCAGCGCTGTTCCCAGGCCGAAAGTCAAAACCACAGCACTACATCAGCTATTGAGGAGAAAAATGACTGCTACTGCTGAGCCCAGGACAGGGGGGTATCCCGCAAGGCTGCGTTTCCCCAAGCCACTGCTGCTGCTGGACCTGGCTACATACAGGAGGCAGCTGGTAAACAAGCTAGGTCTGGGCTATCCCTACTACACCCATGTTTAACAACTAATTAGCAAAAGTGCATTAAGTAGAGGTGCTCTGCCATCATCTCTGTCCATCAGGCAGCAGCATGTGCAGCCTTTTGAGCCTGGGACAACATAGCTCTGCTTGTCAATGGGGAACCTGGTGCAGGGAGTGAAATTTCACCTATTGAAGAGTAAGGAGCTCAGAAGAAGCAGGAGCATGAAGGTACAAGCAGGACACTGATTCTGGAAAGACAGTGTGGAAGTGATACCGGGAAATAAAGGGTTAACATTGTGCCTGCTTGCTTAAGCAGTTGCTGTGCTTGGTGAAGCAGAACGGTAGGAGTCAAAGTTGCCAGAATGGTGAAGCAGAACTGTAAGAGTTACAGCTTCTAGGCAGAATTGTAGTAGATAAGATTCATAGCTGAATATTTAAGGCATTCTTGTTGAAATAGTACCTATAGAAAGAAAAGGAACAAAAGAGAGCCAGAGTAACAAAATTTTGGAACTTGACAAATTTCTACTTTAAGATACATAAAACCAGCTTGTACCGAACCTGAGGTCTTGGATAGGAGCCGAAACCCTATTGAGTCTATGTGAAAGAGGTTACTCGTGGTGATGAAGACGAACTACAGGCCTTCATCCTCACGACCCCCTAACGACCACCACCAGGAGGCACTGCGCAGGCACACTAATGGGACAAATGCCAGAAAACTAATTGTAATACTAGACAGGAATAGGTTTTGCATATGTATTAGGTGTGAAGCAATCTCATGTTTAGGTAATCATTATATGCAATATAAACTGAGTGGCAAAGAGGAATGCATATGCTTTAGGAGGAGAAACCCCATGTGCCTCAGCGCTGAATAAAGCATACCTACTTTACAGCTCTAACGAGCTGTGGAGTCAATCCGCATATCAGGAGGAGCTGTCTAAAGATGCCTTCAAAGAGCATGACTGCTCTGCATCATTTCCAAACCAAACCCATTGAAATGCCTTTTGGGGGGTGAGCACTTCTGGGAAAGCCCCACTGATGGAGCCAGCATCCTATCTGCTCTCCAGTTTCTAATCCATGTTCCAGCCAGCAGAAAGCAAAGGAGCTGGACCACGCAGCCTTACGAGCCCCTTGCCATGGATGTATGGGACTGTCCCATGGCTTAGTGCAGAAAGCAGAGACTGAAGAAATTAAGCTTCTCTCAAGCCTCAAAGGTTGGCAAGCCCCCAAGAAAGGAGGTGGGGATGTCTCAAAGATCATTGCCAAGACGCAAGACAACATTGCTGTATCGGGAGCGATGCTGGCTCTGCTCCAGGCACTACATGTAGCAGAGTTTGTAAGGAGGCTGCTTCCAGGGTAATCATTGGTGTCTGGTGCAGCAGTTTTGTTTGGGAACCAGAATCCAGTGACCATCAAGCTATTGCGTTACCTTGCCTGTTACAGACGTGTCCTGTGGGATTATTCCTGTGCATCAGGGAGGGGAACTTGGGGAAGAAGCAAGACCTTGTACAGAAACTGAGTGCTTACTGGAAAGGCGAGGAGGATCCTCCCAGTTTGGCCAGGACAGAGGCAGAAACAGCCAAACAACTCAATGTGGATGTCACCCACTGTGGGGGATGTGGTCTTCATTGCCCCATCCCTGCCCTTCACACCAACTTCCCCCTGGGAGCAGCCAGCAGCTGATCCCTATTGGCAACCTCAATCGCCAAAGCCACACAGCATCTTTGGCCCTGCCCAGTGCATTGTGCCATGGCTGGCTGGAGGTCTTCACTCAGGGCTCCCAGTGTGGTTGCTGGTTCAGTTCCACTGGTATCTCCACTATTTTGGCTCCTGCACCCTGCCCACCTCAGTGCCAGGGGCAGAGTGATTGAACTAAAGAGAGTGATGCAGTGCTTGGCTCTACGGGAGCATGGGAGAAGGTGGCATTGACTCTTCTGGGACAAGCTCCTCCAGGCTGAAGTTTTAAATTGCAAACAGACAAACCCCATCCAGCATATTCTGTGTGGGCAGGGAGCATCTGCAACTGGTTCAAACCTTACCCGAGCTCTTCTGGGGCTTGGCTTTACATAGCATTCTGTCCTGGGATGCCTGGAACTCACTCCCTCCTCCTTTCAAAGCCTGCTAATGAGGAATGAGGGTTCTAGGGGCTGCTTATCCCCTAGGCTGGGCTAAACCTTTCCCAAGCTTTAGGAAGACCCCATGCTTCTGCATGCCTCTGCTTTAAACAGTAATAATCCATTAAAAACCCCAAACATAGATCCTGCCAGAGGTTTGTTATAATCCACTTGCGCCACTGCTGCGTTGGAAAACCTCTTTTGCATTGTGGTATCCCTTCCCAGAGCACCCTTGGAAACCTGCCTGGAGCAGCCGGTGCTGCCAATCCTGGTGTCAGTGGCTGCCAGTAGCTGGAATCCTCACTGGAAAACGTGGCACGGCCCCACTGCCAAATGGGAAGAGAGGGTGTGCAGGACACGCTGTGCAGCTGCCATCCGACCCTGGCACGCTGCTTTATACATGCAATACCCTGAGCTGAAGCACTTCACACCTCCCTGTTCTGGGGAAAGTGGCAGGAGGTGCCTGAAGGAGATGGGAGTTCAGGATCACTCCAGATTTCCCCTCCATGGCATGCAGGGTGCCAGCAGCCCTGCACCGTGGGAAGTGGGCCAGCTCTCTCCCTGCTTGCCAAAGCCTGCACACAGGCTGAGCTTTGACCTCGTATTGCTGGTTTGGCAGGAGGGAAAACACCCGGAGCTGAGAACAGAGGGGGAAATCCCTTTTCCTACAGCATTCTAAGCAGGAGTTTGAACACCTCCGACAAAACCAGTCCCTGTGCCTCAGCTTCTCCATTTGTAAGAGAAAGATCCTGTTCTTGCACTACCCTGGGAGATGTTGAGAGGGTTATTACGATCCACTCCCATCCCTCCCCCCACAGGGAGACCTGGAATAACAGACTTTCTGATTACAAAACCCACTGTATTGGACAATGACAGTAAAGTGCTCCACCACCATGGAGTCCCCATCCCTTTTCCCCTTGCACCCCAAAGCCAGCAGCCATCACTGCATCCTCATGGAGGGGAACACGAGTCCTGCGGCAAGTCAGACCAAAGGAGGTCCTGCACTGATGTTAGCTGGGATCCTGCTCCGGGTGGGCATGCAGGACTCAGATGAAACTGTTGTTCTTCAGGACGAGCGTCTCCACCTCCTTCATGAACCGGAGGCACAGCTCCTCCTGCCATGGCAAGGCCACGCACTGCACGGACACAGGGAGCCCCACACTGCCGCGAAAAGCCTGTGGCACAAACAGAAGGGGAAGAGGGCAGGGGGATGTCCAGGGGAATGGATGAGGATGCTTGTACCCCAGGAGAACCTGGCACCACTCACCTTTGCCATGGTGCGGTCCCACCAGTCCCGAAAGTACCCCTGGTAGCCCTTCAGCTCCTCCTCATCCTCATCTGTCACCATTGTGACAGGGACCACACCAGCAGGGAAGTCCAAGGCATTGTAGAGCATGGTGTAGCTGACTGCCACTGCGGGAGACAGGGAGCTTGTAGTGCCAGCCTGCTGCAGGGAAACCCTTCAGCGCTTTCTGCATATACAAGCTTCCAGCTAAGAGGGTGGGATCCAGAACTGTAGGATGGAAACCTTCCCCTTAGCTCCCAAATGCACCAGGGGGGTTGTCCTGGGTGTACCCCATACATCTGGGTTACAGATGCCGCAAGAGCCGAGCTCTTCCCACCACTGGCAAGTGCCTTGGGATGAGATGGGAGGAGGAGGAATGCTTTTCATCGATACTGAATGCCATAGTAGGGGCATGCTGGATGCACAGCCCCCCATTGGCAGTCCTACCTGAGAGTTTCGGAGGGTAGCCAATGCCAAGAGCTGGGCCCAGCATAGGACAAAGCATGACATCCAGGTTCAGCTTCTTCCACTGGGCAGTGAACTGCTGGCTGAACTCCTGAGGAGGCACACACTGCTGGTCAGTGGGGTGAATGCACTGTCCCATGGTCCCTGGCCACCCAGCCAGGCTCTCAGCCCTTCCCCAGGAGCAGCCATAAGGCCTGATCCTGTTAAAACCCAGCCACCATTTGCTGCCTGGCCAACAGGTCTCCCAGCATACAAAGCACCCTCCCCGTTGCTAAAGCTGGAGGTGGGGAAAGATTGAGTGTAGGGCACATGGGTGGTGTAGGACATGGGCATGGGTCTT